ACCTGAGTAATAGGCCTTCCCCATCTACTTCCTGACCAGCGGTCAAAACATCCCACATCTGCCTTCAGGCCATAAGTGTTCATCATGAAGGTGACAGTTATGGAACCCTCTCTCAGACCACACACACACACACACACACAAGGTTGGTCAGCACTCAGACTAAACCCCTGATGCTGCCTTTGCTGTTGAACTATTTCTGCTATTTCTGACTTTCTAGACTTGACACCTTTCAACTTAAAGTTTCCTCTCAATGATGACAAAATATATGGATTGGGAAAGAAAGGTTACACTGGGTGGAAAGAGGGGGTGGCTCCCATCTGCATCAGAAGGGGCAGCGTGTCCTGCAAGCTCTGCACTGTCATTTTCTTGTCACTGGAACCTAGAGAGCATAGATGGTAACATGTGACATTGGGGAGCAGCTTTTAAACATTTATCTTCAGGGCTCAGCTACCAGGGATGATTTCCCACTTCATTATCTGTTAACCAGTGGGTAAAAGAAAATCTCCTGGGCACCCTTTGAGTGTATGTCTGTCCTAGATCTCATACTGTGATCCATCACACAGCTTTATCCCTTCTAATTAATGTCTAGTCCAGAACTCATGTACTGAAAATTAACATCATTGATTATCATCCAGGAATATGGTCAACAGGCATAATTTTTTGATCAATGTTACTGATCAATTTCCTAATTAAAGAGAAGGAAGGACCTCTCTGGCCATCAGAGTGAATTTATGTGCAGCTCTCAATCCATTGGGGATGGCTCTCTGCTGGAGATTTAGCATTAACAGGGACCACTTTGCAAGAACAGTGAGAAATGCTTGTGTGCTCTGTGGCTCCAGAAGAGAATGCATCTCCAGAGAAAGGAGAATGCTTTGAAAAATCACAGTGCTTGGGACAGACAGAACTCAGTTTAGAAAAGACAGAATTCAGCAGGCCTGCCTCAGCCAGGCAAAACTAAGAGGTCAGTTCAGGGAAGTGACAAACAGAGGTGAGCTCCTCACACTGTGTCCCCTCACATACTGCCTTCCTGAAACCCTCTATGGGGAACCTTGGTGGGTGGGGCCCAAGGGATAATGAAAGGAAACAAGCTACTTGTCCCTAGTTACATCCACCAGAGATAAAGTCAAAATCCCAGAGACTCTGTCCTAGTCAGATGAAAAAAAAAAAATTATTATGTATATAGTGTACTGCCTGCATGTATCCCTGCGGGCCAGAAGAGGGCAACCTATCTCATTATGGATGGTTGTGAGGCACCATGTGGTTGCTGGGAATTAAACTCAGGACCTCAGGAAGAGCAGCTTAACCGCTGAGCTATCTCTCCAGCCCATCAGATGAAATCTTACTATCATTAGAAGGGAAAGTGGAACCAGTGTATGCAGTTAGTCTAATCCACAACCCAAACTATCCCCAAATTTTGATCTTTACCTACTCCCTTGCTCTCCTTCAAATCATGACTCTTTCAGAGACACAGGCTACAGATGTACCTTGAGAGATGGCAGGGTTTAGTTAGTAGCCTCTCCAGGGGCATTTGCATTCCAGAATATGACCCTGAAGAAAGCTGGTAACCTCTGCTGATGGAAGGACTCTCCTCTCTGTCATTTGGATCTTGGGCCCTGCAGTCCCCTGGAACAAGAGCTTGCTTGTAACTCCACTGACAGTGACAGGGGATGTGGCATGTTATGGTGTTCCCTGGAATCACACCACTTAGGAAGCATGGACCAGCTGCTCAGTCATTGCTGCATTCCTTGACAAATGCTGTCTGCACCCCACATACACACCTCAGCACTGTGGGGTCCTGCCATCCCACCTGCCTTAAGCCCCTCTTACAAGAACTTTTCTCCCACTTTGAAGAAGAGGTAAAATCTAAATCCTGAGGAGATGAACCGATAAATGTCATCAAACACACACTAAGTGCCAAAATAGATCAATAATCACGATTAGAAACAATTTTCCTAAGTGACTTCAGCTCCCTCTGTCTGATTTCTACCTGTTACAGGAAAATGACACTGGCACCTTAAATTTGTGAGCTCATGATCATATATAATGCACAGACACTCTGCAGATATGAATGTCCCTCCAAAGCCATAACAAGGTCACTGGGCAGAAAATCCTTTCATGGAAAAAGAGGAAAGAATACCTTCAAAAATAAATAAATAATAGACATAAAATAAAGTCCAAATGACAAGTCAACCCCCTTGCATTCATCAGAGCAGCCCTGTATTAGACTCACTAAAATCTACCTGTGCATCCTGTAAACTGGGATGGCCAGCCTCCTGCCCTTCCACCCTCTTGAGCAACCACCAATCCAGGAATGTCATCTGCAACCACACCTCTTCTTTCTCTCTCCCTTTAACCTCTGTCTCATGGAAGCCCCCTGGCTCTGTTGAGATATTAAATCAAAATCCAGCTACAGTGTTTACAGAGAAATAACTCTGATCCTGATTGTCCCCAGCTCCTTCTTACAGGAACCAGCTGTGATCCCCAGAAGTAGTGGGTAATCCTGACTTTTAACAGGCATGGAGGGAAATCACTCCTTGACTCAGGAAGAAGGTGCCTACACTAGATGTCAGTGTAGGATTTACACTGACATCTAGTGGGAAACTAAGATATCATTCTGAAGACCCACTGCAGCTGGCCACTTCCATGTCCAAGATCTCCAGGGAAAGATTTCAGAGCTGGCAGAAGATGAGTGTTGCTAGGCCTGGTGATGCAAACTTGCTATCCCACCTACTTGAGGGGCTGAGGCAGGGAGATCACAACTTCAAGGCTAGCCTGGGCACCCTACCCTGGGCTTAAAATAAAATGCAAAAAGGAGGGTAGTGATTGGGCTCAGTGGCAGAACACTTTCCTCAGCTGCTAAGGTCATCTTACATGTAACTGTTTATCAGACAACTAAGCAGGAAGTGTGTCTGTGACCTTGGGGTGGATTGATGTTCAGTAATTATCCATGTGCTTACTTTATACATGAAGCTGCCAGTGAGAACCATGAGCATGGTCTTTATAGCTCTTATTGTGGATCATTTGTTCACCTACTGACTCCATCCTTTCCTCTAAACTGTTTGATGTATCTGTTATAGTATCTTATGGGTCTTTTCTTCCAGTTCAGGTAGCTAGGATGTCCATAGCTCTGTCCTCTCCTGGTCTAGCCTACCGTTTCCTGCTTCTGATAGCAATATCCACTCGATCTAACCTGTAGTTTACTGCATCTGCATATTTTTCTTTCTTGCTTGCTTGCTTTTTTTTTTTTTTTTGGTTTTTCGAGACGGGTTTTTCTGTGTAGCTTTGCACCTTTCCTGGATCTCGCTCTGTAGACCAGGCTGGCCTCAAACCCACAAAGATCCTCCTGGCTCTGCCTCCCAAGTGCTAGGATTAAAGGCATGCGCCACCACTGCCTGGCCATTAAGTTTTGTTTTGTTTTTGTTTTTGTTTTTGTTTTTGTTTTTGTTTTTGTTTTTGTTTTTCGAGACAGGGTTTCTCTGTGTAGCTTTGCGCCTTTCCTGGAACTCACTCTGTAGACCAGGCTGGCCTTGAACTCACAGAGATGTGCCTGCCTCTGCCTCCCAAGTGCTGGGATTAAAGGCGTGCGCCACCACCGCCACCACCCAGCGCATTTTTTTCTTATACATTGCTTTTGCATATATTCTTCTATGCTGCTTTTTATAGTTTAAGCTGCATGTTGCATATTAAAGAACAGAAGAGACATTAGAAGCTAAAGGTATTTCTGCCTTTCACAAAGCATGTGCCTTTTAAACTGTTGCAAGCAGCTGTGCTGAGGGGCTCTCTTCTTCCTTGCTACAAGTCTGCTGTGGCCTGAAGGCAAGGTAGGTCTCTTCCTTCCAGCTAGGTGATAGGACACAAGCAACACAGCCAAACTTCAGTATTTGCTTGCACTCCTTTCTCTCTCTCACTTCCCAGTATTAGGAACCACCATGGAGGCATGCACAGGGGAAAATGAGGCCTGCAGCCAACATCTACTTCTCTGAGACTGAACATGTCAGAAAGGAGAGTACAAGTACGAATTAAGTGCATGGCCTTGCAGCCTACAGTGAGGACCCTTAGAAACTCCACCAGGGTCTCAGGAATAACTCCTAAATCCAAAGAGCCTCAAATTCATGTGAGCCCCTCATAGAAACCAAACCAAGTTGTACTCGATGGAATAGGCTCACAGCAACTTGATCTACTGAAAACCTGGTATAGTGTTTCACACCTTTAATGCCAGCACTCAGGAGGTAGAGGCAGGTGAATCTCTTGAGTTCAAGGCCAGCCTGGTCTACAGAGTGAGTTCCAGGACAGCCAGGGCTACATAGTGAGACACTGCCTCAGACAAGAAAATAGATGAAGCCGTATAGTATACAACATGAAGTCAAGATAGCCTAAAAAGTAACTTTCACAGGTTAAGAGACTAGGGAATTGCATTTGAAAAACTGATGTTGGGCTGCCTACACATGGTATGTGTCATAGTCTCTACTGTTGATAATTCCAAAAATTAAAATATGGTGCCATCTGTTGACCAGGGGAATGCATGTGATCATGCCTGTGATTTCTATTGCCAATATGTTAACTTATTCAATGTAGAAAATGATTTGCCCTGCAGAAATGCCCAATGCTGAGATGAGGTAGAGCTCAACAGTAGATCTGTTGCCTAGCAAGTGGGAAACCTGGGTTCCATCACAAAATAAAGTCAGAGAAGTAAAGTCTAATGGCAGTCTCTTTATTCTCCAGTGGCCTCTGATGACATTATTAAACTAGAACAACGGAGCCAGCAAAATGAGGCAGTGACTAAGGAAGCTGGTTTCCAAGCCTGACAACCTGAGTTCAGTATCCTAAACTTACATGATAGAAGGAAAGAAGCAACTATTTTAAGTTATCTTCTGAGCTACACATAAATGGCATGGTGAACACACAAACACACACACACACATACACACATACACACACACACACACATACACACACACACACACACACACACACACACACACACATAATAACCAACCAACCTGAAGAATGCTGGTGCCATTGGGTCCATGTTCTCCTAAATCAACACCTGTAGTTCTGCTTGCCAGTCCTCTGTACTGACACCAGAGTTTGGATCAAGTGCAAAACAGGGTCAGGAAGTTCATAATCTGTGCCTTGCATTTTTGAGGGCATGGATAAAGCTGGTATCTAATGTCAAGCAGTGCTGTCCTGCAGAGTAGTCCAAGCCAGCCTATGAAGCAAGCACAGGAGAACCCACAATTCAAGAAATGCAATGACCCAGAACCCAAAGTGTCCAGAAAAACCTTCAGATTTCAGATTAATTTACAGCTTTAAGTTTCAGATTAGCATTGTTCAATCAGCAAATCCATGCCAACATTGCCACAGTCCAGAAGACTCCAAAGTATGAGACACTGCTGGTCCCAAATATTTTGGATAAGATGAGAAATACTCACCCTGATGTAGCATCAATCTCAAAGAGTCTTATTAATAAAAAAAAATCCTGGAGCTGGGTATTGGGGTGAATGCTGAAAGATCAGAGAAGCAGAACAAGCCATAGCCACCTCACCTTGCCAATTCCTCAGCTGATCCTGTTTCCTTAAACTGGAAGCCTCTGAGTCCTCATCCTGAATGAATCTCAGCTGAACTGCTGCTCAAAAGCCTAAAAGCTTAAAAAGCTCTAGTTCCTGGTCCTCATGCCTTAAATACCCTTCTGCTTTCTGTCATCACTTCCTAGGATTAAAGGCATGAGTTGCCATGCCTGGCTGTTTCTAGTGTGGCTTTAAATGCACAGAAATCCGGATGAATCTCTGCCTCCCAAGTGATAGCATTAAAGGCATTTGTGCCACCATTTTCTGGTCTCTATGTCTGTCTAGTGGCTGTTCTGTCCTCTGACCCCAGATAAGTTTATTAGGATGCACAATATATTGGGGGGCACAATATATCACCACACCCTCTGCTGTTCTCATAGTATTTCACACAGGGCTTTCTTGTGTGAAAGCCCAAAAAGGCCTGACTCTCTCACATACAAATAACCTTTGGAAAGAACCAGAACTGGACCTGATAGTGATCTCCTATAGTCCTGTCACTGGGCAGGCGGAGGCACAAGTATGCATGTGTGTATACATGTTTCATACAACAAATGAAATAAAAGAGTAATGAAACAGTTTCCAGCTCTCATGATTAACAAGGGCCTCTGGTTCTAATTGCATGCTTGGAGGTAATTTCTTTCTAATCACTAATTTTTTAAGTGGTGACGGGAAACTCCAGCAGAAATGTTTTTCCTTAATCCAAAAGTGAAGTGGGCTACAGAAAGTAATTCCCACTGTCACCAGAAGTTATTAGATAAATGGATCTCATTCACTAATGGAACACATGGTTTGAATCTGCAGTGTCTCCCAGAGGTTCATGTTTTGACCACTTGTTCCCCAGCTGGTGACACTATCTGGGAAGGCAATGGAACCTTCAGGAAGCCCTGCTTCCTGGAAGAAGTAGATTATTAGGAGTGGCCTTTAAGGTTACAGCCCAGACATAGTTCTGGTCATTCTGCTTGTCCTGGTCAGCCATGACATGAGTAACACTGCCACACACTTCTGCTGCCATGGACTGAGCCACTACACCATGCCCACCCTGCTGTGATAGACTGCAGATCATTGACCCTGCGCCAAACATACCTTTCCACCCTTGTTTCTGTATGCATAGTGTCAATTGCAGCAAGAAGTAAACTAAGGGGCTGGCACGATGGTTCTGTGGGTGTGGTGTCTAGTTTTGTGTCAACTTGACACAAGTTAAAGTCACCTGAGAGCAGACGAAATGGAGGTTTTCACTGAGAAAATACCTCCAGAAAGTCAGGCTGTAGGCAAAACTACAAGGAACTTTCTTAATTAGGGATTGATGTGGGAGGGCCCAGCCCATTGTGGCTGGTGCCGCCTGGGCTGGTGGTCCCAGGTTCTGTAAGAAAATAGGTTGAACAAACAATGAGGGGTAAGTCAGTAAGCATCACTCCATGGCCTGTGCATCAGCTCCTGCCTCCAGATTCCTTCACAGTTTGGGTTCCTGCCTTGACTTCCCTCAATGGACTGTGACTGGGGATATATAAGAGAAATAGACCCTTTCCTCCCCGAGTTGCTTTTGGTCTTAGGGTTTCGTAAATGTGCTGGCTGCCAAGCCTGATGACAGGACTTCAATTTCAGGGACACATAGAGTGCAGCATGAGAACTGATTCCTTCAGCTCTCCTTAGGCCATCACACATGCTGTGGCACACACATGCCAACACACGCAGACACACATAGTAACTGTAATAGAAAAGGGGAGGCTGGAGAAATGGCACAGTGGTTAAGAGCACTGGCTGTTCTTCCAGAGGTTCAATTCCCTGTACCCACATGGCCACTCACGATTGTCTATAACTCCAGTTCCAGGTACCCGACACACTCATATAGATATACAAGCAGGGAAAACACCAATTCACAGAGATGAAAAAAAACAATAATAAAATAAGGAGAAAAAGAAAGTAATCCAAATTATGGCCTGATTTTCAAATATTCATGTGTTTAATAACTGAAGTTATTCTTGAGTTTCTGTATGAAAATGTGCTTCTTCTGTCTTTGATATGACAGCCTGAAGGTCTTAAGACAGCAAGCCAACATAATCTGCACAAATGTAGCAAGATGTCAGCTATAGAAGTATGCTGGTACTGACTGGAGTAGATGTGTGTGAGTGTGGTACACACGAGCCACAGCATGTGTGGGGAGGTCAAAGGTCAACTCTCTGGAGTCAGTCCATGTCTGTCCTGGTGGAATTTGGTGATGAAATTCAGGTGGTCAGATTTAGCTGGCAAACACCTTTACCTGCTGGCCATCTCACCAATCCTACTTCAAGTTTTCCATAGTAAGTTGTTGGAGGTGGGTGGAGTCACCATCATGCCATTGAACCTCAAATTCTCAGAATTTTCATAGATTCACTCATGGGAAAATGCATGAATATCCATGATGCAAAGTTTACCATTCATTGCTACAAAGAGAAAAAAATTAAGATGTCACTTTCATAAAATGAATTTTTTAAATAAGCAAAAAAGTTTCCTTTATAAAATCTTCCAATGTATTTGTATATTTTTCTGTACAGATTTGGTTTTATTTACTAATATTTCTATAACCATCCTAAAAATTGTAACTATCTAACCTATAATGAGACCCTACTAAATACCTGAATATAAGAAAACCTTACTTGCCAGGCGGAAGTGGCTCACACCTTTAATCCCAGCACTTGGGAGGCAGAGCCAGGCAGATCTCTGTGAGTTCAAGGCCAGCCTGGTCTACAGAGTGAAATTCAGGGCAGGTAAGAAAAACTACACAGAGAAACGCTGTCTCAAAAAAAACAAAAACCCTCACTTGAGAACATTCTTTAAAGATACAGATTCTGGAAGCTGGGGAGATGGCTCAGGGGTTAAGAGCAATTACTCCTTTTCCAGAGGTCCCAGAACCCACATTGGGTGGCTCCAAACCACATGTACCTCAAGATCCAGTGGAGTTTTCTTCTGGCCTCTGTGGCTACAGGCACATGCATAGTGCACACACAGACATGCACATGTATACTCACACTTTGATGTGTGTGCATGCAGGAGCACAGGCCCACACACAGATACATACACACTTTTAAAATCTTTTTTTAAAAACATAGATTCTAGGTATTCATTTGCTAGGTAACTCTAAGAGATGCCCAGGAATCAGAAATTTTGAAACCTTTAATTTGTTTGCTTTCTCAGACAGGGTCTCACTGTGTATCCTAGAGGACTCTCTATCCTCCTGGCCCAGGTTTCTGAGGGCTGTAGTTATAGGTGTGCACTCTATCACCCATGTAATAAACTTTATTTACTAAATAAATCAGCACATACTTCATTTCCTCAGTTTATCCCTGTCAAATATTGTTCTGAGTACTTTGCTATCATAAATAATAATCACAAAAACTCTAATAGGTATCTCCATACACTGTTTTCTAAAGATGATAAAGGGGTGCAGATCTCCTTAAAAAATAAATATTTTAGTAAGCAGGCAACTGTGGTCACTCTTGCTCTAGGGAACATAACGCCCTACTGTAATCTGAGAATCACAGGGAACACTGTCAGATATCCAAAGCTATGCTTGCTATTTGAAAAGGATTCATTAAGAGATTCCTAATAACTGGGCTAGAAAGAAGGCTCAGTAGCTAAGAGCACCTACTATTCTTGCCATGGATCAGGGTTCAATACACATTGAACACATGAAGGCTTACAACCATTTCTGTAAGTCCAGTTCCAGAGAATCTGTCACCCTCTTCTGGCCTCTGCAGGCACCAGCCACATACACAATGCACATACTTACATACAGTCAAAACACTATAACAGAGCTGGGCATAGTAGCACATGCCTTTAATACCAGTACTCAAGAGGTAGGCAGAATGATCTCTATGTGTTTCAGACCAGCCTGGTCTACAAAGTGAGTTCCAGGACAGCTAGGATTGTTACACAGAGAAACTCTGTCTCAGAAAACCAAAAAGAAAAACCACTCATAAAATAAAAATCATTCTTTTCAAAATGAGAGACTCCTAATTACCTGAAAGAGGCTGGCCTTTGCCTCTGTCACTATAGCCACAGAAGCCATGCTACTTTTGAATCTACAACCCACAAATGACTCCTGTATTTTCAATTGTCTAACCCCACCCCCACCACCTGCTACTCTGTGAATCAAACTCAGGGCCTCAATGTACAAAGCAAGTGTTCTACCACTATTGTCTTATGCTTATCTAAGTTCATAATTGTGAAGGAGGAATAGCTCAGTGACACAGAGCAAAAGTTAGGTCCTGGGTTGATCCTAAGCACTAAAAATAATAAATAAATTCATTAATTAAATAACTTTTTAAAGAAGACCAAAAGTTTACTATAATAATATGATAGTTACTATAGTAGCACATTATACTTAGAAAAAAATCACTAAAATATTAAAGGTCTCACAAAAAAAACAATTATATGAGGTTATTGAGTTAATTAGACTGATTTAGCCATTTCACAACATACACATTTCAAAGTGTTATTTTAAATGCATAAATATATACAATTTTTGTCAAGTAATCTTTTACCATGTTTTAATCCCAGCACATTAAGACAGAGGCAGGTGGATCTCTGTGAGTGAGTTTGGGGCCAATTTGATCTACATAGCCAGTTCCACAACAGCCAGGCCTACAAAGGGAGGCCTATCTCAAAAAATAAAATAAAATGAAGTGTTCATTACTGAGTTCACATTTATGAGTCCCCAGGGGCACTTTCTCACACAGTCTTATACATGCTAAACTAGTGTCAGGCCTTTGCAAATGCAATACATTTGGTGTCCATCCTGTTGTCAGGCTGGCCTCAAAGTCTAAAGCATATGTGAGTTGCCATGGCCCTGTACTGCTAAAGATCAAAATGGCACACAGTTATCACCCAAAGACATATAAAGTCTATGTTTCTTAAACAAGAATGTGGTTCTCTTTGCCCAAGTTTCTCTGAAAGTTCTTTTCCCTCTTTAAAAGGAGGTCGCACAGTATTCAATATTAAAAAATCACTGACTAAAGAGAGCACAGGGACCATAATTCTGCTTTCTCTCACCCACCATCCAAGTTAGATCCAGCACTCATCAGAAATTAAGGGCGGTGTCTGGACAGAACCCAGGCAGGCTGAGAAGGCTGGGCTGGGCCTTTGTGTCCCAGATCTGCAGCCACGAGAATCACTTTTTGTCTTTTATCATATTGACAGAGACTAATGCTCCAAGTCTCAAGAATGCTTTCTGGGTTGGATTCAGTAAGAGAAATCTAAATGCCTCAGAAGCTGAAGCAGGAATATTGATTATACTTAGGAGCTCAGCCTAGACTATGTAGCAAGTGTCTGGGTTACACAGGGAGACTTTGTCTTCGGAAGGAAAAAATAAAATTAAAAAAACCCCAAAGCCAGCTAAAGCTACTCTATTTTACTCATAGGAAAGAGACCCTTAAACGAGGTCATAAAAATTACATAGTAGCATAAATAGAAGCAAATCCCGACCACCGTTACAAAAGGTAACTAGTAATCCTGTGAGTGAATTCTAGGCCAGCCAGGGACACCAGTCCCCTGGGGGGAGAGGGGGAAGAAGAATCAGGATGTTGGTGGCTCATGTCCAGCACACAGTGGGCAAAGGCAGGCCGATCTCTGAGTTTGAGGCCACCTGGTCTACAGAGTGAGTTCCAGGATAGCCAGGGCTGTTACAAAGAAAACCCTGTCTCAAAAAAGAAAAACCTCAAAAGAAATCCTAATACCTCACTACATCCATTATGTTCACTACTTCAAGCCCATTTCTGCCCTCCCTAGTCCCAATCTCCCTTGCATCCTCTCCATGACAGTTTGCCTCGCTACACTTCATTAATCCTGACGCGCAACTGGATTCTCCTGTTCGGCCAGGAGAGCCATAAACTGAAGAGGCCACAAATAACAGACTCCTCCGGCCACAAAACCGGCGCTTAGCGAGCCCCTCCCTCGGCAGCAGAGCTAAACCCAAGGCGCATGCACCGCCAGAGCCCGTCGCGCTTCAATGGCGTCACGCAAGGCGCCGTATCCGAAATCTGGTCGCATCCATTGATGCCGCCTGGAGCAAGTCTGTTTGTGTACTGTGCCTATGTTGTTTCTTGGGCACAACGGATTTTTCCAGCGGAAATGTAAACAAGAAAGAGTCCTGGTGGCTGAAAGCTGCTGAACGAAGTGAAGAAAGGGAAAGAGTGAGTGAGACCTGACGGAGACGTCACTAAAGCGCTCCGGAAGCGTCCCACAATGAAGGGTAAGCGGGATGAGAGACACGAAATTGGGCCGGGATGACAGTGTAGAGGGTCTGGAACAGGAAGCTGAGTCAAGGATACCTGTCGCAACAGAGTCCCAAGACAGTTTCCAGGGAAACCGTGTACTATTGACTCATAGTACACAAAAGAAATCGAGGCGCAGAGTGTGAACTGGCCGGACACAGTCTCTAAGCTAGGAATAGAAGTCAAGGTCCAGTGTGTTCTCCCTAGGGGAGCTAGGGCCGCTCAGGGGAACTAGAAGAGGTGGATCCAAGGCCTTGGCGGGACTTAGCCACTACCTGCCCAGATAACTGCTGACAGGACCTGCTCCCCTCTACCACCTGGCTTTTCACCACTCATCATGTAGAAACCTTGTTAGGCGCAGTCTCACAAACCTAAGTTGTTGGTATTAGATCAGAAAAGAGATGTGTCAGGAATGGAAGCAAGCACCGGAGCAGTGTTAGAGGGAGAGGGGATACTGTAAAGATTAAGCCTCTGGGCTGGAGAGATGGCTCAGAGGTTAAGAGCACTGACTGCTCTTCCAGAGGTCCTGAGTTCAATTCCCAGCAACCACATGGTGGCTCACAACCATCT